AACACATTGTTTGTGGCTTGCCTGCTGGTGGCTCGGAGCATAGTGGAGCCAGGCTCTGAGAAAGACAGGCTGGGCCTGCCCTGGGCCTCCTGGTAGAAACAGCGCTATTTCAGATCTGGCTGCTTCTTGTGAGCATTGGAAAGAGGCTTCGTGGCTTGTGAAATCCCTCTAAACATAATTCCTGGTGTTTCTCCTCTGAGACGCTGGTGCTAATGTGAGGAACTGTTGCAATTTGCGTCCTTCTTTTCAATGTAGCTATAAGCAAAAGGTTCAGTTATGAGAATTGATAGTATTTTGGGATATCCCTTGATTCTTAAATATTAGTGTTAAAGAAAATGGGCTCAATGGTGATTGTTTGCTTTTTCTGCATGATAGGACTTATTTAAAACATTGGGTAGATGTCCAAAAGCTAATAATCTTTTACGTAGAAATAGTTGTTGTGTTATCCTCAACACAAAACTGAGACCTTTAGAAATAAAAGCACACATGTCATTCTTTTACATCCAAAAACTAAGCCCCTATGTGAAATTACAAATACAGTGTACTGGCCACAGCTGCGGTGTCCAGGGAGTGGATACTCCTAGTGAGGAATGGCGAGTTGTGAATTTTCAAACACACACACACATGCATATATGTGCACCTGGGTATGTGCATGTGTACATGTGCACGTGTGACCACTTCAAAGATGATTCTAGCGGGAAGTGCTTTGACAGATCTTAACTTTTTCAGACTCACAGTTGTCACTATAGTGGCATTGGTAAGGGGGCTGTCTTGTGATACTGTGCCAGTAACGCAGCCTTCTCTGTGTGCTCAGTTCCTTCCAGTGTACAACCCTTCAGAGGAGGAAAAGAAGGACCCCGCCCTGTATGCCAGCAACGTGCGACGCATCATGGCCGAGTGAGTGCACCTCTGTCTCCTCCTGGCCTCCTGATTTCCTTCCCCTAAGTATTACCCAGCACTCTTGTTTACCTGCTGTTTTCCTCCTCAGTGCTGCCAAAAACAAGAAAGCCAGTAGCTTTAGGAAGATGGGTTCTTGCAAAAGCTAGTGAACAGCATGGACTCGGCCTATTGGACATACACTTTATGTCTCCTGTTTTTGTCAAATGACATTTCTGCTTGTTCAGCATTTGGAAGATCCTTAAACATCACTTAGTTTCACTCATGTCAGGTGTGCCCATAGCCATCAGTCACCCAGGTGCTGCATGTGTGGGCGCCCCAGTGTGACGGGCAGCAGAGCTGTCAGTGAGAGCAATGGCCTCTGCAGATTTCAGGGTCTGTCTGGGCTGGAATGTTCTTGAAGCTTCTCTCTCCATCTACCCACGCAGTGTTTATTAGTGTTCCTGCTCCATCTCACCAAGTTCAGTGTGGTAATTGTGCACCTAAGCTTGTACAGTAGCTCCTCCCACTTGTACTGCACCGTGCCGCAGTCAGGAACGTGCTCACCTCCTATTTCTGGCCATTCCCAGCTTGTTCCAGGTAGTGGTAGTATCAGCTCTTACACCTGCCCCTCTAACTGCCTTCATCCCTCCCATCCCGTCTTCTCCCCTCTCCTCCTCTCTCCTGTTCCAGGGCAGCAGGGGCTGCCTCTGACTTTGGCCACCTCGGTGCCTGCAGGGGGCTCAGCAGCTCAGCGGCTCTGACAGTGAGTGCCACTCGTTGGGGGTCCACGCGGCTGCAGAGGGGGTTTAACAGTTGCTATTGCTGACCTGTGTGGCTTAGACTTCTAAGATAAAGCATTTCGGTATGCACATTGCACCCCACTTTAATGCATTCTGTAAGACTCCACTGAGCAAAATCATGCATCTCACCTCAACATACATGAATTAACACTCAGCAAGCTGTCCCGTCTTTGTCCACGGGCTCCTCAGGAAATTGGGCACTAGGGATAGAGTGCAGTGAGACACTCCTCCCCTTGCCTTGGGCTCCCCGCCCCACCTCCACCCCCCCCCACACACACACACACTCAAAAAAAAAACTCGCTCTTCTTTTCCCTCTCTGATTCACACTGGCCACCAGGATGTGCTTGATCCTCAACTTTTGGGAAGTCAGGGTACTCAGTAACACCCTTGTTTAACCTCTTGATAAAAAAAAAATAACAATAATAATGTCCATCCATGGAATTGCAGGCTCAACAGGTTGGGTATAAATATTCTTAGTACACACTGAAATAAATTACCTGTTAACATTTTTAAAGATACGTATCCTAAAGAAACTGTCCATATTAATTCAAAGGAAGAAGACAGATAACCCATGGGTCACCCCCTCGCCTCAGCGGCTGCAGGAGAATTTCAGTGGGTTGTCACCTCTCTCATCTCTAGTTCTCACCTTCAAATGCACCTGGGAGGGGCCAGGATCCCCAGAGGCTCTGTGGACAGCCCCTCAGCCAGCCTCATCCCCCTTCCTGAGGAATAATTCTGGCTTCTGTCCCCCAAGGATTATACCTGAGTTTGTCAAGGAGAATGTCAAAGTCACTATTTCCTTATCATGTGATTGCAACAGGAACTTTTATCAAATGACTGAAGCCCATTGGGGAGAAGTTTAGTTTTCTATACTTGGTAGATTTCCTACCTCGAGTGTTTTCTTTAACAGGAAAGGTTATTTCTCATGAACCCTGATGCAGCTCTGAGAATGGCCAAGTTCTGACTCTCCCAGCTTCAGGGAGGTGTCAGCTCTGAGAAGAGCGATCCCTGGTCACTTGTGAAGAATTGAGCTTCTCCATAAAACACCCCATGGGGTGGTGGTGTCATCTTTAAGGCCCAAATGCATGGTTGTTTCCTAGTGGGGTGCAAACTTGGGCAGCCCAAGTTCTAAGTAATTGAAATTTAGGGTCAGCTATTAGGCATTTATGGTTAGTACTAAACATGACCTTCCCACATTGCCCTTCTGTGCACCTCGGCGTTCAGAGTCCTCCCTCACGTACTAACCGCTGTGTGCGGAGGGTAGCCCAGGGGCTCAGAGCAGGGTGCAGGACATGCATGCAGCACTGCCTCTGCCAGGGTGTCTGCCATCGGAGCAGACTCAAAGAGACCACAGGGGCTCCTGTGACTTGGGACCGCTGCCGTGCAGGGCGCTCACGGCAGGGACTCCTCTCTGCTGCAGGGCCCTGGGCGTCTCTGTGACCGACTACACCTTTGAGGACTGCCAGCTGGCCCTGGCGGAAGGACAGCTTCGGCTCCCTGCAGACACCTGCCTTCTGGAATTCGCCAGGCTGGTGCGGGGCCTGGGGTGAGTGCCTGGGTTTTTTTACCCATGATCAGTTCGTCAGAAAGGGCACTCCCTCGCATGCTGTGACAAGCGTTGGGGCTGTGATGTGTGACAGGGCAGGTGCGATGTGTTCAGCAGTGAAGAACAGCTCTGTGCTGGACCAAAACTCCGGGCAGAACCTCGCAGGGGCCTCCACCCTGCAGGTGTTGGGGACCAAGCTGGAGGTCGCAGCTGCACCTGGGGCTGCCCGATGTCACTCGAGACAGGGCATCAAGGAGAGCCGGAGTGCTTGTCCTGGCAGTCCGGCCATTTTCCTCTTTCCTATGCCAACTTCAGCCCACACTGAAGTCCCGAAAAGCCCCTCATGGCTGGTGCCACGCTCTCTGGAGCTGCCCCCGAAGGACGTCCTGCTCACAGACCGCCTTGCCAAGGGGTGTACATGCTTAGGCAGAGCATTGCGTGCCTTCAAGATATTAGAAGCCTGTTCTTGAAAACTAGCAGCTTGGTATATAAGTCATGTTGATAATTTGTTGGGTCTTAAAACAGTAAGCCTCCTATTTTTGGCATTCTGTGATTTTATTGAAAAAAAACTTCCTCTCTTTTTATTTAGCCTAAAACCAGAAAAACTTGAAAAAGATCTGGATAGATATGCGGAAAGTGCTGGGATGAAGAGGGGGGCAAAGATCAACGTCTCAGAGTTTGCGGCTTACCTGGAAGTGCCTGTCTCCGACCCACTGGCCGACATGTTCTCCCTGTTTGACGAGGTAGCACATCACCCAGTGAGGGTGGCAAAACCTTTGGCTTCAAAGTACACATTGTTTTCCTTGTAATAGAAACATTCTGTAGACAGTTTTGGAAGTAGAGAAGGAAAAACCACCCCTCAGTGGCCCCATCCTACCAGCCTACCCTGTCCTCGGGAGTATTTTCTCCCGTGGTTTTAAATGCACAAAGAATCACATTTCAGTTAGCATGTGCTGATAAACATGTCTGTAGTCTGGGTTTCCTTAGATCAGATCACTAAAAGGCTGAGTGATATCACACAGCAATGCTGGCCTAACCTCTGCCGTGTCCCTTCCCAGAGGCCTCCACTGACCAGCCCAGCCAGGCCTTAGAATTTCTAAGCATGGCCTCTTTCTGGATGCTCGGTTTAGTGGTTCCCCATCGCCTCTGTCTAAAGCTTGGGGGTCTCCCTCTGGAGAGCAACCCCTCCCCTCTCCACCACACACATCATAGTCGGTCGTATGTGCTGGCTGCACAGAGTCAACACGTCACTGCAGCTCTGGGAATGGGGGTGGCCTTTCATGTTTGGGAGGGGGGGAGACAGAGAACCAGGAGGGCAGGCTGCCATGTAGCCAGAAACCACCCACGCCTGGTCACTCTGGACGTTTGAATCGCAGTGCAGACCCCTGTGCGGTACGTCCTGTAGGAGCAGTCAGCGTGGCACAGTGTTTGTGAAGGGGCTCCTTCAGCCACGATTGTTCCCTGTGAACAGCGTAGTGTGTTGTGTGAATAATGGAGCATGTTGCATGTGGACAACATAGTGTGTTCTGTGTAAACACTTAGAATTTCATGTGTGTGCAACACAGCATGTTCCGTGTGACAACGTTGCATGTTCTGTGTGGCCATAAGGTGCAGCGTGGTGGAACTCAAAGAAGCTGGTGAGTGATGTGGGCTTTAGAGACTCCATGAGTGTGCAGGTTTGTGGTACCACAGTGTGCAGTTGAGCAGGTGGCCCATCTGGGTGACCCCTGGTGTAAAGCAGCTGTGAGGTGGATTTGTGGCTACATCTCACTCAGGCACTGTGACAACAGGTCAGGTTTGAAATACAAGAGTGAGCATGGTTTCAGCTGGTGACATCCTGGTGATGCGGTGTCATCACTGAGCACCGGACATCTTGCCACAGTGTGTGGGTTCATTTTTATTTTTCACAATGTCAAGGGCACAGTGTTCTTTTTTTTTTTTTAAATATATTTTATTGGTTTTTTACAGAGAGAAAGGGAGAGAGATAGAGTTAGAAACATCGATGAGAGAGAAACATCGACCAGCTGCCTCCTGCACATCTCCCACTGGGGATGTGCCCGCAACCCAGGTACATGCCCTTGACCGGAATCGAACCTGGGACCTTTCAGTCCGCAGGCCGATGCTCTATCCACTGAGCCAAACCGGTTTCGGCATACACAGTGTTCTTACAAGGTAGGAATATCCTCCATTTCACAGAGAGCCTCAGACCCGAGATTAAACACCTTCCCAGAGTCAGGGGCATAGGCGTGGGACCCAGTGTGCTTGGCCTGTGTGGTGTCATCACCTTGGGCTCACCTTTGATTTGCACGCTCACTGTGTGGTCACTAGCAGGCTAGGTTTCAGAGCCCAGAAGTGAGCCTCGTGGGCAGGTCTGTTTTTCTGGAAGGCAGGCAACAGTCGTCATGCTGCACATACTTTCCTGCGCACTTTCATGTGACAGTCACACTGAAGATTCATTCTAGCAGCCTAAAGAGTGGAGAAGCCAGTGGTTAGGAGTGTTCTTCAGATGCTCTCTCCATGTAGACACATGATCTCAAGTCTGTGTGAAAATAACCTTGTGTTGACACTCAGCAGCCAGTGTTGAACCCCAGCTCCCAGGGAGGTGGCCGGACTGCCCTGACAGAGCGTCTCTCTTTCGCAGAGCGGGAGCGGCAAGATGGACCCCCGGGAGTACGTGGTCGCCTTGTCTGTCGTCTGCCGGCCTGCCCAGACCCTGGACACCATACAGCTGGCCTTCAAGGCAAGTGCGGGGTTCACATGAGTTTAATTTATGGGGACAGTGAGACGTGGGTTACAGGTGGAGCACACCTGTAGGTGGGAGGGCGGGTCACGCTAAGGGGCTCAGCACTCCCTAGGGCAGCACGCTGGTTCTGGCCATGCTGCCAGGTGGGTCAGGGCCTCCGGGGGGAGGAACAGGCCACCCTGGGCAGGCAGTGGGCCTGGTGGGGCCTGAGGATGGAGGAGGAGACCTTGGCGTGACCTTGCTTTGCAGATGTACGGGTCTCAGGAGGATGGTAGCATAGACGAGGACGCCCTATCCAGCATCCTCAAGACGGCATTAGGGGTGGCAGAACTCACCGTGACCGACCTCTTTCGGGCCATCGACCAGGAGGAGAAGGGGAGGATCACGTTTGGTGAGAGGCCCGGGAGCAGGGAGGGTGGCCCACTGGTGCCAGAAGTGAGGACACACATGGAGCCCCCACCCACCTGTGCTTGTCAGGTCACCCTGTGTCTTCTGCAACAGAGATTATCAGGAGGAAGGTTCTTCCTAAAACCTGGCCAGGAAGGGTGGGAGCTTTCAATCTGACTTCTGCAGGCGATGAATAGAGCCAAATTCCAAGCCCCGTAGACCTGGGACCAGGATAAACGTCGTCCTGGGGGCTGTGGGCACATGTGCCAGGCCAGGGCAGGGCCTCTGCCATCAGGGTTCAGTGCCGGAGCAAGTCAGTCACCTGCCCTGAGGACTTTGCTGGACTGCTCCTCTCTGGAAGGTTTGGCTTCATCACCTGTGGCTGCACAGAGCAGCCTGGCCCGGATCCTGGGGGGCCAGGACCTGAAACCCGCCTGTGGCTGAGGGGCTGGGCAGTAGGATCTCGGAAGGCGTTCTGCTCAGGGCACTGGCCAGAGTGCGCATTTCACAAGGAGTAAAGTGTTCTTGCTGAAAAACTAGCAGACATTTGCTCAAGAAAGGTCATCGTGCACGTCTTGTTTGGACATGTTTTAAAATTGCATCCAAATGTCAGGCACGGGTGTGGGGTGGGAGGTGGTTGTTATTTGTGTGTGTGTGTGTGTGTGTGTGTGTGTGTGCGTGTGTGTGTGTCTGTCTGTCTGTCTGCATTAAAGTAGGCCCTGCTTCCCAGTGGATTTGGGGGTTGTTGGTGAGGTTGGTGATGAGCCTGATCAACTGCAGACTTTTCCAATAAAAGCCGTTCCAGGTTTCCTACAAGGAGACATGGATGACCCTGGAGCCTGCAGACTCCTACACCCAAGGCCTCTGGGCATCACTTGCTCTCAGGATGCCTGAATGCAAGCCTGAGGGTGCTCTCCACTCAACACCAGCCCTGGCTACTGGGAGATGCGCAGGCAGGGAGGCATTCAGGCCCTGTGACCAGCTTACAGGGTGACCCTCCATGTACCCATGGTCTCCAGACAGACATCCATCAGTAGCATCTGCCTCATGGCATATCAGTCACCACACGGACGTTTGTCCTGACCCTGAACCAGCTCTTGTGATGAGCAGCACCTCCCTCACATGCATTGAGTCCCCAGAGTCCCCAGAATTGTGCCATTTCTTTAGCTTTCCCCCAAGCAAGAGTAACTGAGTGGATACAGTGGCTGCCCCTTTGCTTTTGCTATGATTTTATGCGCAGCAGAGAAAAACTGAGTGTGGGTCGGGTCACGTAGGCCCAGGGAAGAGCTCCAGACTCCAGATGTCTGCTCTTGAAGCCCCTGTAACCATGTGCCCTCGTCTCTCCAGCCGACTTCGGCAGGTTTGCAGAAACGTACCCCGACTTTGCAGAGGAGTATCTGTACCCTGACCAGCCGCCTTTCGAGAGCTGTGCACAGACGCCTCCCGCTCTCACCCCCAACGGCTTCTGTGCTGACTTCAGCCCCGAGAACTCGGATGCTGGGAGGAAGCCTGTGCGGAAGAAACTGGACTAGGACTGAGGGTGCTGGAGAGATGAGACTGCTCCCCGGCAGTCACCACCCACCTCCGCATGGCCGTGAGCCCTCTGCTGTGACCATCTCCGGGCTCCACTCTCCACGTCGGCTGCTCGGTCACTGTCCCCAGGCCCAAGTGCCAGAGGCTGGGGTGTTTCCATTTTGCTCCTCTGTGGGGCACTGGCCTGAGGGGCACCTGCGGGGCATCTGGAAGGAAACCTTATGCTCACTCCACCCGGACTCCTCACAGCAAGACCGCGTGGGGCATGTCCTACCCACCTTGGCGGGGCTCAGGGGTCTCCCTGCGGGCAGGTCCTCAGTAGGTGGGTGGACACCAGGGTGGCTTGT